GCCGCCTCGTCCTCCTCCTTCTCCTCCTCCTCCTCCTCCTCCTTCTCCTCCTCCTCCTCCTCCTCCTCTCGCGGCACCCGCGCGGGCTGGGAAGGGGGCGGGCGGTATGCAGGGGCGCCGCCGGGCGGGGGCGGCGGGCAGGGCGCTTGGACATGATCGCCGCCATCTTCGCCTGGCGCGGGCGCAGCATCCGCCAGCGGACCCCCCCGGTCGCCCACCGGTGACGAAAGGAGAACGAAGAAAGACAATAACATAAAAACTCGGAGGTCCGCGCGGACCTCCGAGTTTTTATGTTTATGCCACCTTTTGTCCCCCTAGATGATTTCCAATGACACCCCCACCCCCGACCCTGAGATCCTGGCGTGGATTTTTTTTGTTTTTCTCAACTGGCGTTGTCGCTCCATTTCGAGCCCCAGGGCCCTCACAGATGGATCCGGCTCGGAGAGTGACGCAGGAAGACGGGGTCCGGGGCTCTGGCGTGATTTTTTGCAACGCTGGCGGGGTGCCGGGACCGTGGGTGGGGGGAGATTTCGGCGGCCGTCGAGGCTGGCGCTCGAGCGTGGACCATTACCCCAAAAAATCCCACCCCAAGTCGCGGCACCCATTCGGCATGCCTCACTCGTTGTGGCAGGGGGTGGGGGTGTCACTTGCGGTTCTGAACAGGAGGGACGCGGCAAGGGGGAACGGAGCGGAAGGAAACTCCAGAGAACCTCTTGTCTTGTCTGCTGCATGCTGCCACGACAGGCTCGGAGGAAGAGCCCACAGGGGTCGGGGCATCGCCGAAAGCTGGTGCCTCGCCCCGAGGACCGCCGAGGGAACGCACTACCCAGAACGGGGCCCAGCGAGGAGCAGGGGAGGGCGACACGACGACGACGGAGAGCGATATACGTGATGTTTGTGGACTCGATGAGAAAATCAAGTCTGGGGTAAAATCAAGTATGTAATCGATCCCCTACCCTACCCTGTGCTGCACGGCCCGAGCAGCCCCCCCTTCTCTCTCTCTCTCTCTCTCTTCTCTCGCGCTCGCTTCTCTCCCTCGCTGCCCTGCCTCGCTTTGCTCCCGCTGCACCCCGCCACCTGATCTGACCAGCGCCCGACCGTCCGGAACCGCCTGGCGCCCGCGGACTTACAAGAGCTTGCTCCCCCACCTCCTCCTCCTCCTCCTCCTCCTCCTCCTCCTCCTCCTCCTCCTCCTCCTCCTCCTCCCTCCTCCTCTCCTCCTCCTCCCCCTTCCTCCTCCTCCTGCTCCTGCTCCTGCTCCTGCTCCTCCTCCTCCTCCTCCTCCACCTCCTCCTCCTCCCCCCTCCTCCTCCTCCTCCTCCTCCTCCTCCTCCTCCTCCTCCTCCTCCTCTTCCCCCTCCTCGTTCCCCCCCCCTTTGGGGGCAGGGGGGCAGGCGCGGCGCGGGCGGAGGGAGGGAGCTTTGACTCCAGCGTGCCTCCAGGCTGCAGGTGTGCCTGCCGCGCAGGACAAAACCCGCCTGCAGCCGAGCCCCGGGTGTCCTCTGCTCCTCCGCAGGACACCCGCCGACATGCCCGTCTCAAGCCGTAGTGCTGGAGGTCCCGGCCGTTTCCCCAAGGAGTAGGTTCTCGTCCGGGTTCGATGTTCGAAGGTCCCGGGGCCCGAAGACGGCCCCAGAGGGCCGAAATGGAGGAGAGAACGCAGGCTGAAAAATCAGATCGTCGATGCTCTGGGTCCCCCTCCCCTCTCCTCCTCCCGCCTTCTCCTCCTCCTCCTCCTCCTCCTCCTCCTCCTCCTCCTCCTCCTCCTCCTCCTTCCCCCCCCACCACTCTCAAGGAACAAAATCTGCATAAACATCATGTCTCGAAGGTCCGGGCAAATTTCGTGGATCGGCGCTGGACCCCCCTCACTGGCGCGGGAAGTGCGCCAGGGACGGGGCCGGTAGCGCCGCCAGGGGGGGTGCAACACCGATCCAAAAAGTTTGCGCGCAGCTCCGAGGAATTACGATTACAGTGGGGGTTCGACCACAAGAAACCTTCCACAGGAAATCCAACCCTGAGAACCCAGGACCCCAGGACGTCCGTTTATTTCAGGTGTGGGAACGTCACGCCTTCCACCGCAAGACCATCGAACCCCGAGAAACCCAGGGCACCCTGGAGGTAAGCAGGGTGGTTCGTGGCATGCGCCCTCACAGTGTGCTGCTTTTTGTTGGACCTCCCGATTTTCCCCCCCCCACGTCGGCCCTCCCTCCTCGAGGAGCAACCGCAATACCAACGGCACGCCGCCGTGGGGAACCCGTCCGCGCGCCACTGCTGAAGAAGCGCCAGACCGTCGGCCTGGAACGAAGAAACAGCACGCTGACGGGCTGCCAACGGCAGCGTGCCACCGATGCCCTCTCGCCCTCCCGACCTCCTGTCCCTCTGTGCGAGGCGGGGACTTGTCCATGACCACCGCCTGAGGAAACGACGCCCTGGCACCCCAGGTGGGCGGTGGCTGTGGATATATTTGGACCCCAGGAGGGGGCGAATCCATATATATATATATATATATATATATATATATATATATATATATAAAAAAAAAAATAAATAAATATAGATGAACATGTACGTATCCATATCCACCGCCTGCCGAGATCCTGGAATGCAATCGGCCCGTACCAAAAGTACGCGCGATAATGATGCAAAGGCCTTGGACGCCCAGTCCGAAGCTTTGCGAGCGGGCGCGGCCAACGAAAGTGGCCAAGGAGGGGCCGAAGAGGCAAGGATGCAAGGGTACCCTTTGGAAGGGTGCCCATCCTTACTATGCGGGTTGACTGTATCCATATCCGCCGCCTGCCGAGATCCCCGGGTATCGGTCCCCCCAGACGGCGGTGATGTATACATCCCCGCCTCGGACTCTGGCGGGAGGGGTGCGGGCTGCCTCGTGTTCCCTGCTGGGGGCGCTCTTCTTCGCCTCCCTGGCGCGGGCCTCTTCCTGGCCCGGGCGAAGGGGGCGCGCGCCACGCGGGCCGCGCCAAGGGCGGCGAGGTGGCCAACCGAAGAGGGAAGCGCCCTTTTTTTTCCCGCAAGCTCCAGCCCCCGCGCGTCCGCGGAACAACGCGCGCGGCCGGCGGCCGCGGCGCCCTGCAGAGCACGGGCGGCGGGCGAGCCCGACCGTGATGCGGGGAAACAAGGCCCCGCCCCACGGGCAGGCGGGAGGCCCCAACCGAACGGACCCGCCCCCACGAAGGGGGAGGCCGAACGGAGGGGTCACCCGCACGCCCAAGGGGCAGGGCAAAAAAGGACCCGGACCCCGGGACCCACGCAACGACGACACGGCGACGACAACGACACGACACGACGGGGGGACGGACCGCCAGTCCCGCCCCAAGGCGGCGAACGCAGGGGGGGAGCCCTGCGCCGCCCTGGGGGAGGGCCCGGGACCTGGCAGCCCCCCCTGGGAAGGGGACCCCGCTTATGGGGGCCGTCCCAGGGGAGCGGGGGCTTTTCGCCCCTCGGGCCCGGCGCTCCCCGCCTGCGCCAGGAGGGCCCTGGGGTCCCAACCCCTCCCCTACGGGAGGGGCCAAGAGGAAAGCGCCCAGTCGCCGCTCAGGAGGAGGAGGAGGAGGAGGATCCAGACGCTGCGATCCCAGCCGAAGGAGCATGAACGGGACGACGAAGGAAGATGACACCGTCGCCTCCCTTGCGTGCGGCAGGCACCCCTGCCCGTGCCCCGCAGGACAGGAAGAGCGGGGTGGAGGGAAAAAGAAGAGGGGGAGGCGGCAGAGCGCGAGGAGGAGCGACAAAAACGCGGCGAGCCTGCGCGGACCATGAGGAAAGAGGGGCGGGCACGGGCAGCAAGCAGGCACGATGGGGCGGAGGAGGAGGAGGAATAGGCGGAGACCGAGGCGGAGGCGGAGGAGGAGGAGGAAGAGGAGGAGGACGATGCTGATGCTGATGCTGATGCTGATGCTGATGCTGACGCTGATGCGGATGCTGATTACGATGCCGATGATGATGTTTTTTCCTCGACGTCAGGACCAACATCTGGTATCAGGATATGGTGTACAATGAAACCAGATTTAAAGTGATCAGTCGCAGAGAGCCGACTGTCTCGTGTTGCCCCGCTTGGCCCAGACTGCCAGGGTGCTGCTCGGAAGGGGCCTCCTGCGCAGCGCGTGCCAAGCAGCGTCGACATGCTAGCTGAGATATTCGGCCGTTTCTTCTTCGGCGGTTGTATCATGCTCAGGTGGGGCCCCCCCTCACACTGCTCCTCTGGATGCGCTGGCACGGCAGGGGGGGAGTGGAGGCACGACGGAGGAGGGAGGGCATGTGGCCGGCCGTGACCGCGCCGCTGCTGGCAGGGAGGTCTTTGCCTCGAACGAAATTGACGCGGCGTTGAAACGCCTCCTCTCCGCTGCGGCCTGCATTGTGGCCTGCAGGCTCGCTCTGGCAGAAAAAGACGGGTTCGCTGCTCGAGCGTCTCTAGCCTCCTCCTCGAGCCAGCCCACTGGGCCCACGTCACGGTGGTGGACCGCCTGGCCCTCGGCCTCGAGGGCGCGGCTGATCAGGATATGGCCCTCCCACATGGGCGCGCCTAGCGCGCCGACCACCAGCTTCGTCTTGTCGTGGTCGTAGCCCTTTTCCAGGCGCGCGAAGTTGACGGCGTCGATGATATCTTCCTTGCTGATCTCCGTCTCCGCCTCGATGTCCTCGATGGCACCCTTCATGGAGCCGCCCACGTCGCACTTGTGCAATCCTTCTAGGGCCGTCAGCGCGCGGGACGGAGCTGGCGACCCGTTCCCCTGCAGGCATTTCTTGTCCTCTGGGGGGCCGCTCTTCCTGAGGGGGTCCATGATGTGCTTGTAGCTTTCGTGCTCCTGCGTGATGGCATCTACCTGCTTGCCATGCTCGTCGTAAATGTCTAACTGAATGATCTTGATGTTCCGTTCGGCTTTCTTCGTAGCCCGGTGAATGCCCAGTGAGGCCAGGGTGTCCTGCTTACCGATGTTCTGTGCGTGTTGGGTTCCATTATGTATGAGTCCTATCCTCAGATACAATCGCCATAAATGGTCGAAACAGTGAGATAAACGCACGCATGCATGAATGTCCTGAATCACATTGCCAGTGGGGCCTTCTCCTTTTTTGCCGATGTCGAAAGTCTGGATGATGGCGGAGCTGACGTCGTGATCGATCTCGAACTTCCGTCGACTGGGGTGATAGACTCGCTCAGCGAGCGGGTCCGCGTATTGATAATCTGCAGTGTCATGTCCCATTCCTGCCCTTTGAACGCCAGTGCGCATCAGGTGCTGTAGGGCGAGGAGCATGATGGTGAGTTCGATGGGCCTTGAAGAGAAGTGGGTGGGTCGTCGGACTGGAAATTGATGATCAGGGCGCTCGTCACCAGGGTCACGTTCATGTCGACCTTTAAGTTCAGGTGGCAATTCAAGTCCAGCGTGCAGTTGTTCCACTGGTGGCGGTTCAGGTGCAGCGTGGTGTAGTCCTGCACGTACTGGCCCTCTGCGTTCGTGAAGACGTTGAAATCGAAGTTCATCGTCCAGTCGTCCAGGGTCAGCGTGTCGTACTCCTGCATGCGCTGGCCCTCTATGTCCGTGAAAAGGTTGGAGTTGACGCTCAGCGTCCAGTAGTCCTTCGCGAGCTGGGTGTGTAGGTAGTGGTCCAGCGTCCAGTAGTTCGGGGTCAGCGTGTCGTAATCCTTCATGTGTTGGCCCTCTGTGTTCATGGAGATGTAGCTCAGCGTCCAGTTCCGCACGTATTGGCCCTCTGTGTTCGTGAAGATGTTGAAATTGACGTTCAGCGTCCAGTCGTTCAGGGTCCGCGTGTCGTAATCCTGCATGTGTTGGCCCTGTATGTTCGTGATGATGTTGGGATTGATGCTCAGCGTCCAGTAGTCCTTCGCAGTGTGGGTGTGGGGGTAGTAGTCCAAGTGGCAAGTCACGTTCAGCGTGCAATTGTTCCACTGGTGGCAACTCATGGGCCGCATGGTGTGGTCCTGCCTGTGCTGGCCCTCTGTATTCGTGAGGATGTTGCTGTTGAAGCTCAGCGTCCAGTAGTTCAGGGTCAGCGTGTCGTAATACTTCAGCATCGGCATCGTCGTCTGGCTGGTGGTCAGGTGCTTGGGCCATGCGCTCGTCCATGTTCCTGATGTCAGCGAGGGAGTCCTGTGCTTAGCAGATGCGCGGCGCCCGCGCTCCGGAGCACGTCCATGGCGGCATGGCGGTGTGCGGGGTATCGTCTTGAGGCCCCCTGCCTTTCGGGCAGGGCGAGGGGGCGGTGACTCGAGGCCGCTGCTCCATCAATGGCCTGAGCGCGCGGCGGCCTTTGATGATGATGATGATGATGATGATGATGATGATGATGATGATGATGATGATGATGAAGATGATGAGGAGGAGGAGGAGGAGGAGGAGGAGGAGGGCAGTCGCCAGCGTCACGTGGCCGGCGGCCGTCGCCCCAGCGTCAGGCGGGGGCGCGGTCGACGGCGGGGGCGGGGCGGGGGGAGGCGGGGCCGCCCCCGGGGCTCGTGGCAGGCAGCTCGAACGGCGTCCGCCAGTGGAGGCTGCCGCGGCCGCCGCCGAGAGCGCGGCCGTGGCTCCCGCTCGCGGCCAGAGGCATCCCGGGACTGCCCGCGCGTTTTCCCCGTGCCTCCCACCACCTCCTCCTCCTCCCCCTCCTCCTCCTCCTCCTCCTCCTCCTCCTCCTTCCCCTCCTCCTCCTCCTCCTCCCCCTCCTTCTCCTCCTCCTCATTCCTCCTCCTCCGCCTCCTTCGCACGTCCTCCGCACGTCCTCCTCCGCACCGCCCGTCCTCCACACGTCCCCCGCACGTCCTTCGCACGTCCTGCCCACGTCCCCCGCACGTCCCCTGCCCCCGCTCCTCTGCTCGCTGGGTGCAAGCTGGCACCAAGCTTCCAACATGCAATCGGCACCGGGGCCAGTCTGTGCACCACAGCCTGCAGCGGAGTCCCAGACAGCCCGTCGCAGAGATTCTCCTCCCCATTCGGTGGAAGGAGCAGTACCTGCTTGGTCATCACTGTTCAGCTATTGTGCCTCTGCCTCCGGCGCTCATGACCATGAGTACCCAGAAGCGTGCTGCCTCTGTCGAATGCAGCCCAGCCCCCCAGAATCGGCAGCACACAAGCCTGCTCACTCCGCATCTGGGTGCCGCCTGGCACCAGCCTTCCAACGTGCACTCGGCACAAGTGCGGACTCCAGCAGAACCCTCGCGCACCAACCTTCCAACGTGCATTCGGCACAAGTGTCGACTCCAGCAGAACCCTCGCGACAATAGACATGTGCCGAGCGCATGAAACAAGAGACTCGATCACGATCACCCCGAACTCCTGTGACTCAAGCTCGGACCGGCTCTCTCTCTCTCTCTCTACCACGGCCTACTATTAAACGCCTACCATGGACACAAGTGAGATGTTGGCGAATCCGTGGCGCACAAGTTCATGACATATGGGGAACAGCTGACCGCAGCATTTCAGGCAGCCCGTCGCAGAGACTCTCATCCCCTGTCAGTGGAAAGAGAAGTATCTGCTTCGTCATCACTGGTGCGGCAACTACTCCAACATGTGCACTGCCTGCGAGGGCACAACGTCTGCGACAGATGAACTGACGCCACGCGCATGGACAGAAGTCGGCGAGCCAACCCCTCTGTGCAAGCTGGCATCCCGTAGAAGAGTAAGCTTGCTGTGGCAGGGGCTGGGGCCAATCTGTGCACCACAGCCCGAAGCAGAGTCTCAGACAGCCCGTCGCAGAGATTCTCATCCCCACTCAGTGGAAGGAGAAGTACCTGCTTGGTCATCATTGTTCAGCTATTGTGCCTCTGCCTCTGGCGCTCATGACAATCACCCAGAAGAGTGCTGCCTCTGTCGAATGCAGACCAGACCCCCAGAATCAGCAGCACACAAGCCTGCTCACTCCGCATCTGGGTGCCGCCTGGCACCAGCCTTCCAACGTGCATTCGACACA